ATGGGAAGCAGCTGTCTACATGTAGAACAGACCAAAGAACATATTAATACTTCTGCGGAACAGATAAAATTCAATTTATTCTTTTAACACCCATAGCCAAAACAATCACCACATTCTTGTGCAAGAGGCATGGAAGCAGAAGCAGGTAGAGAAAAGTACTGTGGGGCCCCAGTTGTTGGTTTCTCTGGGTCTGGATTGAAGGCACTTGAGACATTACTTCATGTTTGGACTCAAGTGTTTGTTATTTCTTATCAGTAAAACAGCGTCACTACTGTGAGTTCGGCAGCTTTTCATTAGAAGGCACAAAATGGGTAACAATCTCTTGTTACAAGGTCTTTTAAGACTAAACTATCCAATTAAGAACTGACACCTAGATTATTTTCCCTTTTAACCCAATAACTGATCCCAAAGAGCTGCAATGTGGACTTTTCTGCCTGATTAAAAAATGCCACCCAAACCCATGAAGAAGAAGGAAGAAGAAGCATGAAGAAGAAACCCAGGATGACACTGTGCCCTCCATCTTGCTTCCATCCACAACATATTAAAAATCCCAAAACCTAAATTTTTCACCAAGTGATACATGTACACTACTCTCTATGATCTATTTCACACTTTTGTGGATTCCTGTCTATCCTGAAGTCTAGGAAACTTTCTCCACGAATGAAGGTAAAAGTCAGTGCTCCCCTGGGGGTCAGCACACCCCAGAGAAGGCAGAGAAATATTCCCAGTGCCCTGGGTTTCCACAGAGCACTTCAGCCAACTCATGAGAACTGAGGTTCTAGAGTAAACTCTTGCTTTTTTAGTCAAGACAGGTATATTTTCTATGAGGAAAACATTATTTATTTCCTTTTGTCTTTTTAACCAGTACAAATCTCCCAAATTTGGTATAGTAATTAGTCTGAAAGCACCATAGAATAACAAACATAAACTTTTATCATATTATATTTAATTATAGTTGTCATACTTTCATTTCATAATTACCTTTCATTTATAAGGCTGTAAAGATCACTTTAATGACTTTACTATTATTTTGCAATTAATTGGTTTTAATTTCCATGCTCCTTTATTAGGGATGTCTGCAAATTATATTGTAGATGAATGAGGAGTGTTGCAGAATGTTCTGCTTCTGTTTCTTTTTCTGAAAAACAAGCTGGTGAAATAGAGTCAAGCATTCAGCATAAATTAAAAACTCACACACATGACATTTGGAAAACAGTTTGTAACTTTAATTTTAGATGTGATGATAGAACTGAATTGATGGCCTAGAAACAGTACCCTTGGTGAGTACTTGAAGCTTACAGAAATCTCCTTGCTGAATGGGCTTGAAGTATAGGACTCCAGATCTAGACCAAGAGTCCCACCCAGCTCCTGGACTCTCATGATTAAATCAGAATGTGCTTTATTCTTGGTGTTAGGGGAAAAAACCACAACCCCCAACAAAAAAAATGTGGTGTAAATGGAATTTAAAAAATATTTGAGACAAAGACTTCAAATAGAGGTAATCTATTTCTATTTGCTTCAGCTCTAAAATGGCTTCCCAGAAAAAAACATGGCCTGTCATAGCAGCAGGGATACAGTATGCAGTTATACAGTACAAGTTGATTGTGATGCTACTTCTCCTTTTGAGCTGATAAACTAAGTTTTTAATTACTGAAGTGGAGTGTCTGAAGGCAGCCAATATTTGAGGCTTCAAGGGCTGATTAACATTTTATTTGACCCATAAAACTGCGCATTTTCTCTTACAAACATCCAGGAGGAAAAAAAAGCCACTATTTATTTTCCCAGATGGTGAGCAGGAATCTGTATCCCACTGGTAATAAGTAAACCATTTACTTTGATTATTTCTGTTGTTTGGATTCCTCCATCGCACTGCATTAGTCCTACATGGAATAACAATGCTCACCTGAACTAGAGGAAATAAATAGCAGATTGAAAGGGGGAGCAGTTCAACAGTCTCTAAAATATGTACGAAAATGATCAAAATTCTCACCAGTTATTAAGGCTTTTTGAAATAGCTGGAGGTTCACTAAGCAGAACAACGAGCTGTGACCTGAAAGAAGCACTCTTGCACTCAACTTCACAGGTAGACAGACCAAAAGCCAAGCTGATTAAATGGACTCCAAAGACAAGAAGAAGTCTTGTTTTGGCACGTGAAACTATGGAAGTGTTGCAAATTAGAGATTTCTATTACAAAACTGAATGTCTGGTTCAGAACATGAGCTTTTTGCATAATTGGGATGAATACAGGTGCACAGGAGTTCTGGAAGTTTAAATGTGCCTCATCCTCAGAATATAAATGTGTCATTTTGCAACTGTTTTTACAAAGATAAAGACTAAATGTACCAGTCTTTCCTTTAGAAAAGAAAAAACCCAGAGTCTGCAGATTTTGGCCATAAAAGATGTTGTTGAAAATGAAGGATTTTAAGAAAGCAAAGTTAATGTAGAGATTATTTCACATTCAGATGAAATCAATTCACTGTAATTTTGTGTGCATATTAAGTAGAAAGACAATTTGGGGGGGCGGAGGAGGTAGGAGCAAGTGAGACACAGTCAGCTGAAGACGAATGCATCCCACATTTCACCAATTCAAGGGGAGGAAGGAGCAATCTGGTATGGACTCAGAGCACTGCCTGTGTGCTCAGGAGGAGCCTCGGTGTTTTCCACATTGATGGAGATGGTCCAGGGACATGCCAGCAGCTGCTATTCAGATGGAGTAAAAAGGAGAGCTTGCAGCCCATGAAAGGAGCAGATTACTCTCCCAAGTACTATAGTTTTACACATAACAAGGTCTATCTTTGGTCTGTTTTCATTGCAGTATCTGGGTGTGAAAGTGCATGGATAGGCATGATGTTCTTATGGTACAGAGAAGACCTGGCATCTATGTTTTAGAGATAGAAACTGAAATGCAGAACAGTTCTCTGCTCACTCCAGGTGCTAACAAACACCAAAGTTCCACCCTGCTGCACCTCATACAGCAGAATCTCTGAATAGATGATAAAATCGGAGATGATTTCAGATTTTTTAGTTATGCTACCTGTAGCTGAAAGGAAGTTCTGTAAATAGGTAGACTGGGCTGTTTGAAGGGTTTGGAGTAGCTCTGTGAAAGCTGCAGGGAAGAGGAGTCTGATTTATCCCTCCTCTAATTTCACCTCTAGTCTTTCCTGCCTAAATCTTGCTCAGCCTCTTCCCGCCTGCCCCAACAGATAAATTTCTCTACTGCACTCCTGCAAAAGCCCAGAAGAGAAAATGAAAGGTAATGTATAAGCAGTAGAGGCCCTCAGAGCATGTAAAGGATTAAAAAGGTATTGGAAAATTGAGGGACAGCCTGAACCAAACAAATATCTCCTTTAATTTTGCTGAATTTCTGAAGGCTGTTGTTATCCTACAATTGAATGCAAAAGTATATCCTGGCTCCCACTTGTGCCAACAGAAATGGATCTGCAAATTGTTGCCCATGTGAAAGCATTTCACATCAGTGAAGCAGCTGTAATTATGTTTTTGTCTCCTAGGCAGAGCTATAAAAAGTACTTCAGATTAAGGCCCATCCTACATTGTAGCCATGGGGATTGACTTGCTGTTTATTGAATCTCATGGAGCCCGAGATAGGCTGTTTGTGGGGAATGTGCTTGTTCCAGCTATGGAAAAGGGGATGCATGAACATGGCCATGTCCAGGTTTGCTTTTAGCCCTATGTGTTTTTATGTGACAAAAGCCTAAAATCCTTTACCATTTGAGTCACTGGCTATTTTTGTCACTATTTTAGCAGGTTCCTATCCACTATGGATGGGTTTAAAGTTGTGAGCACCAGCAGAAAAAAAGTCTATATTTTTAACTCAATAGCGAATTTTTTTCTGTCAAAGTTCTATAACCATATAACACCTAGAATAGATGTTCTTATCAAACAAATGGCGCCTCTTTTTTCTTGTCAAGTAAAAAGGTTCTCTAACTATGCTAGTTCTGTAAAGATGACCAAAAGAAGAACAAAACAGGTTCCAATTGGAAAGAAGAGTATCCTTCTGCATTTAAAAGTAATTTTCTGTCTGGGATTCTTGTTCTAAACTGTAAAATCCCACTCTGTCTAGGTATGATTCCCAGTGTCAAACACACAGTATACACTCTGAAATTTTAAATTGCTTACTTTCATAGACCAAGCTGTTATGTTTTCCAGCCTATATTAGCATCAAAAGTGATATCCCCATAAATATCAATGTCAGTATCAAGGACAATGAAAATAAGCCCTGTGTGATACAATCCTGCAGGTTTTGTGCATTCTGGTCATGATTCACCAAAGCACTGAGTAGCATACATTTTGTCTCATATGCACCTATTGAACTCAGCAGGGATATTTGCGTAGTTAAAGGTAAGTATGCATTCGAGCACTCAACTGGATCATATTCAGAGAAATTCTCAGCTGTCAAGAACCTGTTTACTGCAAATAAAGTAACAGAACTTGTCAGAGAAAAACACTGATGTGTCACTGTCAAGCACTGCTTTACTCTTCAGAAACTATTGAAGTAACTAGTTACATACAGCCATGGTTAGTTATGAGCCTTTCTCCAAGGCTATAAATATTTATTTAACAGACAGGGGAGTGTTAATGTACAGAACAGAGCAATGCAACTAAGTAGTTAAATTCTCAGTCTTGAATGCTGATAAGATAAATTTCAAAGGAAAGACTTCTACACACAGAAATCCAGCTAGTGTTGAGAACACAGAAAATTATTCTAAATAAATGTATATGTATGATCAGATTTGGATCAGTTTCTTGAGAGCTGGATCACAGTTAAGCGAATGATCACAGTTACCCAAATGTCCCTACCACCACCTCCCCCCACCTACACCTTGCTGGATTTTTTCTGTTAGCATGTCTCTACTAATCAGTGAACTTCTCTTAAATAACTCATTTTGTCTTTTTTTTTTTTTTATTCAGAGAAGTCTACTTCTAGATCTTTTATTCTTGACTTGCATGCAACTCATAGCAAAATCTTTCTTTCATTCTAGAATCATTCTCTTCCTTAAAAAAGTGGAGGGAGGAAGAGTTTTCAGACAAAACATAAGGTAAATATTTTTAATCAACTACTGTGTCAGGTTTGGGGTTTGGTTTTTAGGTTTGGTTTTCAAATGTTGTTTCACTCTAATATAATTTTTATATTATAGATTCCATGAAAAATCAAATATTTTCTGTCTGTCTATTGTTCTCAAAGTTTAGATATACATTGAACAGGATCATTCAACTAGCCTAATGACTACTACTAATAAATAAACAGGTTTGTGGTATAAGAATCCTGAAAATCTGCCCTTTCACTGAAGAAAACACCCAAATATGCTTAAGAAGAAAAGAATTCAAGTTAAGTTTGCCCCTGTCCATTAGTAATATATAAAAATCACTAATTATACTAATTTTGTTATTAGAATCAATATAACAATGATCAAATAAAAGTTCAGAGAGTGCCCACAGGGAAAAAATATATATTTGTAACAAGTATATCAGTCCCATACCTTCCCACTGGACACGTAAGTTCTTTCAGTGAGTTTTAGTTACAAAAAGTACAACGATTCAGACTGTGAAAACATTGTTTAACATGGCTATCAAGTTGGAAAAGTGACACCTCATATATAAACACAAAGTGTAACTTAGCTTTTTTTTCTATGAATCTGTTGGTTATGCAGAAATTACACATATTTTTCAGTTGCTTATCTAGGGATTCTCAGTGGGAAAATAAAGCGCTAACCACAGAGGCAATGTAAAGCTAAACCATTCTTAGAGAGGTGGGGAAGAGATGGCGGAGAGGAGGAAACTTAACAAAATAAGTAATGAAGTAATGAAATAAGCCCATGGATACCATTAATCTTTAGGTAAATAATTTCAGAACAACCTTTAGCCTTAGGGAGATCATGTTTCATTTAGACATAGAATGAGCCAGCTGCATCACCAAATCCATCTCTCAAGAGTTACAATTTATTCTGATGTTGAGTGTTAGAGCTGCAGGCAATGAAAATTACTGATCAAAATCTGTATTTTTAAAACGTTTGCACTGGGGTGATAAACTTCAGTGAGCTGTAATTGATGTTTCTTGGGGTAAGGAAACAACTGATTATTATAATGGTCATGGTTTTAGTGGCTTGTGAAGTTCTCTGACTTGATCACAACTTACCCAGCAGATCTGTCCTTCATGTTGAATAACATTTCACAGTCTAGCATGTAACCAAAGGCCACGGTTTGATTCTTTGCTTGTGTTTTTTTTTTATTAAAGGGTTCAGCCAACACAGCTTTCCCCATTTGCTTCCAGGTTTTAGCAATCCAGAAGGGCTGTCTGTAAGCAAGACCCTTGCAATGGGACTGTCAACAGGGCTGCAGTAAGAACACTGCATGGTCCAAAGGGGGATTATTTACTGGAAGCAGCTCCTTCTGAAAATTGAAAGGCTTGAATTTACAGGGGACTGGTAACAAAAAATTACATGCTTATCAAAGGTAAGAGATATAAGCTTCAATTTCATTAATTAATGTTGTCTCTTTTGGACCTCTTGTTCCTTGGAACAAGAAGCTTTGAAGTCTGAGTTGTCAGAAGTTTTCATTCTAAGTGTTGAGGAATGTTTTACTTCTGTAACCAAACTCTAATTTAGCTTTATAACAGACTCTTTGAAAGCTTAATCCTCTGAGTTTTGGCAACAATTGTAATGGTTGTCCCATTACAGTGAATCCCAAAACAGGGAATAAAGAGTCCAAATGGTCCTGCTTTATTGAGGACATTTTACTATCACACATGCCTATGCCAAATCAAGCTCAAGCTATTAGTCTGATACATAAACTGCTTGAGGAGGATCTGTGTGCTAAGGAGCATGACAGAGTGCAATGCAGAGTTAAACTGTTAGAGAACTCCTTCTGATGCAAAGGGCTGCCCACTATCTCTGTCACTGAGCTCTTCCTTCAACAAATACATAGATATGAAGCACAAACAAATCAGGTCTGATCCTGACTGGTGCCAGAAAGATGAGGGTTTGGCACTTCCATTCCAAAAGCAAAAATAAGTGACCATTCCAAGCCATGCTTGGACATGTAACAGCCTGCCTTCTCTTAGCACATTCCCCAAAATCAGTCTATTGTTTTGGGGGGTCTTTTTTGTGTACTATAATTGAACATGTTCTATTAAAAAGCAAGGGTAATTTGTGTAAAGGTCTTGAAAAACTTTAAGTATTGTGTGATTGCCGAAATGGTTTTCTGCCACATCTCTCTGTTTTGCTCTATCTGAGCTATAATTTCTTTCTGGAGTCAGTCTTTGTCTGCAGCAGGCAGCCTGACAGGCTACACAAAGAGCAAATGGTGTATATTAGACCAGAAATCCCCAATTCTTCTTTACTGGTCTAGAGCACATAATCATGGTCAGCCTATGAAATCGTTCTGGGCAACTGGGGAAAGGTTAGGACCCCAACAGGGAATATATTTTTGAAGCTGGCAGAAAGTGTCATGCTAAAACACTGACATAAGGAGCAAATCTTTTGAAAAGCACTGGCTTTGTGCCCCAAGCTTGTCAGAGAAATCTCCATGAAGATGCTGTGCCTGTTCTTCCAATCACTGTTTAGCCTGAATGGTGTACGGCAAGATGACCCGTGTGTAACACACAAAAAGGCTGAATTCATTAACCAGCAGCACTGCCTGAAAGCTTTTTCTTTGCCTCAGAGCACAAGGGTGGTATCATCTATGAAATCCAAGACTGACAGATGGAATTATTTTAACCTTGGTTACACAAGCAAGGTTACGTGTGGTAGGTAGTCTGACTCTAAGTACAAAGAACATATCTAAAATGCTGGCTAGGGCTACAGAGGTCAAAGGCATTATGAGCTATAGAAAGAAGTCACTTTAAAATGGGCAGTAGCGCTTAGCTTGAGAAATCAGAAAGATTCCTAATTTCAGCTCCTTATTTTCAGTCGTGTGCTGTTGAATCCCGTGCCTACAAAGCAAAATGAGCACTAAATTTTGAGCACTAAAACTTTGCTCAAAATGGTTTAAGAATAGCATTTTAGCCTTTCTGGCCAGCATCTTCAGTTTGATGCATAATTTTTCATTTCTCTAAGGAAATACTGTGATTGCTCAAAAGAGATTCTTCATACAAAACAGAGATTGATTTGAAACCTGAGACTGAAGCTGTCTCTACACAAAAAAATTTGTGGTTTTCCCCCTGAACACCCTGTATAATACACCCAGAATATGGTGCAATCTGAATAGTCCATTTAAACAGAGCCTTTGGTTTTCATCCTTACTGCAACTGGAAACAGTACTATTCTACAGTTTCTATACTTTGACTCCACACTAAATATTATTCCGACATAAAGATTTATAATTAAGTAATAGAAAACATATGAGATTGACTAGTATATAGGTGGTACTCAATTGTAGCTGTCTACAATAGGCTTAAAATTATGAAAGTTGTTAAATGTAAAATAATAATTAATTTGCAACGGCAGAAAATTACTGAGAACAAATGTTTTAGGGGTTGAGTCCTTTAACTGATGCAAGTTTGCACCATTATTTTAATATGACAGATTACCTCCTGACTGGCAGTGGAATAAAAGGAAAATTTTATTTCCCTTTCCATTGACTAACATTATGACTGGATGTCTGTATTGGTGGATATCTTATGCTTAAATTACAGATTGCCAAATTCGGCAATTACAAGAACTTTCCTCTATTTATTAATACCACCAAAGCTGATATTTTCACTAAATGATTTGAAGTAACAGCCCAGAAAGCAAAGCAGTATCTGGTGCTACTTCAGCAGTATTTCACAGAGCAGTATAGAGTCAGAAAAAACTTTTTTTGACTGTTGCCTCTTTAAGAGCAGGATATAATATTTGACCAAACAGGATTCCCTTGTGTATTTGCAATCCCTGAAGTCTTTAGGTAAAGGTCAGGAACTGATAAACATTCTTTATACATATTTATGACTTTATGCTTCTATATCAGAGTGCAAAGTAATCATATCCTATCTGGGATGTGATTACTGCTCCTGCTAGTGTTGGCCCCACCAGAAAGCAGGCAGTGCTCTTGTGGCCAGCTGGGAGCATGAATTTTCAGTGCAGGAAGCCAGAGCCACACTGAGTTCTTGGTCAGCCCATGTCATCTGGAGGTGGCCTTCAGTAGACTGAGATCCACGACTGAAATAACAAAGCACAGAGGAACTGACACCAAATTCAACTGCACTTGCTATACAGCAACACTATTGGCAACCAGCTAATAAAAAAAGATGTTAACACAAAAATTTAAAGTGATACTGGAGAGCAGAGCTCCAGTTTCAAAAAGCCAGACTTGCACAAGCACATTCTCATGCCCTTTAACTCTGTCATGTGAGGAACATCACTGTGCTAATGGCTTGGGTGCTCCGTTGTCTTTCCTCTCAAATGAATAAATGGAAAATCTATATTAAGAAAGCAAACAAGCAAAGGTGAGCCTTGTTTTTTTCTGTGAGCACCTGCAATAGAGATTTAAAAAGATTGATGTGAAACAAAGCACAAGACACAAAATGTGCCAGAAATATTCGAATAACAAGGAAATTTAAGGAGGTGCAGCAAAAGGCATTGGTGATTCAATAACATTACTCAAGATTTGTACTTGTACAGGACCTCTTACAGATAAACAAGGGGACACATGGACAGAAAAGAACAGAGAATTATTGCTAAGACTTTTGGGGCACAGCAAATAGGCTGGAACTACAAGAGAAACTGTTGACTGGCAGTAACTACATGCATCCAACTAATCCCTTCATACCATAAGTAAAGAAAGGAAAAATGAGATCCAAGTAAAAGCCAAGGGAAACTCCAGGGAAATTCCAAGCTTAAATGCTGAAAGCTTGTAATAAGTGCCTTGGTTCTAGAAATTTTACACAGCCTGAGCCTATGAAGAGTGTCCTGACAAAATAGAATAAAATGCAGATTTTTCCCTTAGGGAAATATATTAACAGTTGAATTAAAACAAATATCCCATTGTGACAATTCTAGATTACTTGAAATTGAACAATCAGAAAAAGGAGGAAAATACTCAGGCCCCATGTTCAGGAGCACAGGAGAGCTCAATCAGACGGCCTGGGCAAACATTGCCAGCTAGGAGGGATTACTGTACCCCTATCCAAATCATCCCAAATGGTACACAAAGGCTGCTCTCTGTGCAAACTCCCAGTCTCATTTTGCAGGAGGAAAGCCTACGAAACTTCTCCAAAACAGTCAAAGTGCAAGTAGTGATTCATAACATTGGGCAGATATCAGAGAAGCTTCTCAAAGAGGTATTTAGCTGTTTCTTTGTCTCTGTGCTTGGAGTGAGTGATGAGGCAGATGCAAAGAAAAAGAAAGAAGAAAATTACAGTGCAAATCAGGACATTAAAAAAATTGAATTTCCAGTAGGAGAATCGGCTAAAAGTTGATATATTTTACTGTGAAGCAGGGCCGGTTAAATCATTATTGCTTCTCAGAACAAATTTCTGAAATATTCAAATTCTAAACCTTGAAAAAAGATATTTTCAAATCTTTGAGCTGAAACGAAAGAGTTTATGTTGGGGTTTTTTCAGTCAAAATCATGAAAGAATCATAAATCTGAACCCTTTAAATAAGATGTTTTGAATCAAAATCTGTACCACCTTAAACAAGCGGGTTGCAATCAAAAGTGGAACTTCATGGCACAAATGCATAAGAATAAGGCTTCCCCCCTTCAAATCTTCCTCAAAACAACTTTTATCCTTCATAATAACCTTTTATGTTTTCTACTGATTTGGAAGTCAGATTTGTGAATTGTCTTTGAATGTTACTTCTGTTCCCTAGATAAAATATACTCCTCATCTTGGCATAGAACAAGCTTGGGTTTTGTTTCCTGTAATGTAGCAAGAAGACAAATGTGAGCTGGCATCCTGGAATCAGGACACCATGGTAAAATAGCATTAAATCTTTAAGTAAATCACATTGAGAACCAGAAGCACGTAGAATTTATTGGCAAGTCATCTGTTTTAACTTCCTGGCATGAATATAATCAATAGATCTTCAGATTTCCAAGGAGCACAGTATAAACTGACAAATGGGATGCAGAATTATTAAAGTGCCACATTTACTGTAAGATGCACCATCACTTGCTTTATTCTTGTGTTTGAATGAAGAAGTGGGGAATGGGACATAGGACCAAGAAATGAAAATGCTGTTCCATTAAGTAAAACTGAACACTTTGGTTCTTCTCTGGATGTGGACAGTAAAAATATGGTATTCCTTTTGCAAAACAGAAACTAGATTACTTCAGATTAAGCTCTCATTTAGTTCAAATTTCTAGCTAAACACAGGTCAGAACACAGTCTCATTCTCATTGACACTGAGGCAAGAAGCAGGCATAAACTGATTTATTGCTGTATTTCTATGCCTACCTTGGTCCATCGATTTCCATAAGACCTATGCCACCTGAAGGGCACATGGTGCCTAGCTGCTGGAGAGGCTTTGGGATCTTCACAACTCAATCAGTTGTGTACTTGCTATTTCCACCATGCTGCTGCTTGTATAGCAGCATATTTACACCACCACAACAAAATACACATTTGATGTGAAACATTCCTCTCTAGGCTGTTTGGGGTCACAGTCCAAGCCTGCCAGATGTACACACTGCACCAGCAGTAACTGGAACCGATCATTTTAATCCTGCAGAACAGGAACCCAAATGGCCATTGCTCCTCTCCCATCTTGCCCTGGCACCAGGTAACACAAGTTTGCTTCAGGGAATGTTCAAGCCCACTTCTGAGGGCAGGGCACTGCTTGGCTGTTCTGGTAAAGTTCCTTGTTGCTATGAAAGTTGTCCAAAACAGGCAAATAATCTTGGAGGAACATCGAGTATTTAGAAAAATTAAATGCAGTACTTAAAAACCAGTTTAAAGCTAAAAAGTTTAAAGTTTCCTCACTTCATCTATTCAAGAATTTACTAATTATATCTTACAGTTGTGCCTTATTTTCCTACTGAGATCTGAGACACAAAATTATGAGCCAGCATTATTTATTGACAATATTTGTGTGGGTCATCCTCACACCATAATGCTCTCTGGTCCCTGATGGCCATTATAAAGAAATTTGGAGAGATTTGTCTATGACTTGATGGAATTCAGTGGTGATCATTATTTCTCCCAGTCCTTTTGCCATCCTCGTTGATGGCTGTGCTAAGAAACCACTAACATCTAGTCTGAATGCAGCCTGCACCCACTCTGTAGGGCAGAAAGTGAACCAATTGACTGTCTTAGGCCCTGTGGCCTTGGCTTAGGCTTCTCCTTGGGTTTACAGCAGTGAAATCATCTTTGTACAAATCTGAAATATTTGACTTGAATTTAGGAAAGATGCATACCTTTGCATCCCAGAGGTGAGGGTAAAACAGCTTAGGCCTCTTTGGTATGTGATCACAAAGAATTCTGTCATTTTCACTTGGTAACTTGATTCCAACTGCTATGCCTTCATTATAACATTTATTTGTATCTCCTTTTGAAGCATAGTTAATGATAATATATACCACTACTTTAAAGTATTTATTACAAAAAAGAAAGGATTATACAGTGCACTGGACTTCTCAGTGGGTTGGAACAGATTAAGCCTCTTTGTGAAAACTCTGTTCTTCTCTCATTCTAATTCTGTAGCGCTCTTAGAGACAATATCCAACTGCAGCTCAAATACACAGAATGGTCATACAAAATGTTAAGCCTGATCTTTCATCATGACAGCTATCATGCTGCTTTCCATTAAGGAAATAATGTTAGAGGCTTTTATCATTATAATCAGGAGGTGACTAAATGCCAGTCTCTGATAATACAAAAGATCCCTGTGATCTTGAACCTGCTTTTGTTTAGTTCGTCCCCCACCACCTACGCTTGTGTACTGCAAGTGGCTATTCTGAATAGTAATGTAGATTGGAAAGTTGATTTCTACTCAAAAACTTTTAAAATATATGAATATATTTATCCATGCCTTTAATAACATGATGGCTAGCAGTAAATTCACTAGCACTGATTGATCACACTGATACCCTGCAATTGTGAACACATGATTAACCCTTAAGTTATGTGCTTCTAATCAGACCTAACAACCTGGCTATAGGTACAGCTACATCCAGAACACAGGTTCTGAATAGTAGGGAAGGGAATCTCTAATTGGATAATTCAGGTTACTTAAGAAAGAACATATGAATAAAAAAGCACCACCTGTGTGGTATTAACTGTGAACACACCAAGGGAGATACTTGATAAAGCACAAGCTTGTGCTGTGACTGAAGAAGTAAATAGGCACTATAAACCCAGCTATTATTGCATGTCTGATATATAAAGGATGGAAGATAGTCACTTGGCAGCTGTGACTTCTTACTCAATTGGCAATGCACTATTTTACAAGGGTTGGTCATTTTAGATTAATCATTATAAAGAGTCACAGTGCCATCTAGAGACTGCAGACAGCTTTCAGAACTGAAACTAAAGGAACAGAGAAGGCTTTGTTGTCATACTTAAGTTTAATACATTATGCCTTGAGAACACTGCTTTTCACTGAAACAATCGCTTGCTTTGTGGTTATTAATATCTAGTTTTGATCACAAGCCTACTTCTTGTCTTCGTGGAGTTTTTTTTGAAATTCAATCTTTTACATGAAAATGCAAAGAAGACTGGGGCCTGGTGAAGGCAGGCTTAAGCAAAACGAACCAGACCAACCCGAGCCCCTGAAGTACTTTTGGCTGAAGTGCAGGTGTGGTGTTGTACACCAGAAGGCACCAGGCACTCATGAGATAATCTGAGGTAACTTCAAAGTGAATGCCAGTGACACATGCTTTCCCTTGTTCTGTCTCTTGTGGTGGAAGGCAAGGCTGCTAGAGGAAGTACTGTGCACTTCCAGCCTCTCTGGTTAGGGCTGTGTTGGGAAGCCTGTGTGCTCAGTGTTGGCTGTGAAAACACAACCTTCACACCTACAGGAGGGAAGGCAGGCAGAGCGGCATGAGCGTCTCAAGAGCATTACCTCTCTCTGCTGCATAATGTGTGGGGGAAAAAACACTTGCCAAAAGCCAGTACCAAGGTAAACAATCTGGGATAAGCAAACAAGAAAAGCAACACATTCTGATTTTTTTTAAATTAAAACAAAGAGATTTAATTAATGTCTTCTAATGACAAGAAGCCACTCTGAATTTTCCTGAGACCTGAAGCAGGAGTTGCAAGACTGTTTACTGCCCCTATAAACAGTCTCCTGCATCTGTGTCAGACAATTTGGGATTCAGATGGCCCAAGAGGAAAGAGCCAGTTTTGGGAGTTGGGTGACATGGTTCATGGCCATAGCTTGTATAATTCAGTCAGATGTCCAAAATCAGTTGGGTTATGTCTCCTGTTTCTGTGGAGAAGATGCAAACATTTCATTTAATTCCCACTTCTGGGGATTTGGAAACCCAGGGCTCACAGAGGTGCTGTAATTTGTGCTTATACTTCATATTTTTAGTGCCTTGAAGAAGAACGGAGAGGAAGATTTGGAGGCCTGGAGGCTCTGCAGGTTATTTGGAAAGCCCAGCAATTCCCCAGAACTGGCAGTCCCTCATTCCACCCTTCTTGGTGTCTGTAAAGCCATTTCAGAGCTGGGACAACAGCCACCCATAGCCTTTGCACTGGATGTTGTTGCACAACTGAATGGGAACTTTGAGAAAAGTTTATCAGTGAGACCCTCTTGCTGAGTCACAAGGTGCAGGATGTATCATCATGCTTTCCAAACTCCTTCTCAGAGAGGAGTCAAGGTGCAGCTGGATCCAGTCCTGCCCCCAGACATGGTCATTATTTTGTACCTAAAGAATGTATAGGTGAAATAGAACCTCTGTCTGAGTTTGTCCTGCAGGACTTAGGATATTAAACCAGATATTCAGTATTAATAAAATGAACTATTTAAAAAAAAAATTGTTAATGATTAGGTAAGAAGGTAAAAATTGAAAAAGTGAAAATGGAAAAGAACAAAATGTCCAAAAGACAAAAGGCTTTAATCAGAATTATTTACTACAAAGTAAGACCAAAAATATAGTGTACTTCTTATTAAATCAATATCAGAGGTAGCTTATCAAATATATGTTGATGTTACTCACCCATACCAATGGCCATGGGGAATCACTTTCACCCAGCCTTGAGGGGTATCCTTGAGGGGCATCACCATGTAAGAGAAGGATCTTCAGACACCTTAGCGGGGTATGCTAGAAATCCCCACCATGAAAAAGCTGGACTGGTCTTTTTAAAATGATGGACTGTCAGTCATACACAAGTACGTGTTGTGCCTGCTGTGGTGGGCTGACTCTGGCTGAGTGCCAGCTCATCAAGCCACTCCACCACTCCCCTTCCCAGCTGGACAGGAGAGAGGGAATAGGAATGGAAAACAACTCATAGTTTGTTTACTAGAGCAAAAGTGAAAGTATGGGAGTGCATAAGCAAAGAGAGGAAAGAAAAAAGTTTATTCTCTACTTCCCATCTGCAAGAGATGTTCAGCCTTTTCCTAGGAACCAGGGCTTCAGCAGGTGGAGTGGTAGCTCCAGAAGAGCAAAAGTTGGTATCGCGGTTCCTTCTCCTTTCTTAGCTTTTATATGTGAACTGACACCCTGTGGTGTGGAATATCCCTCTGGTTAATTTGGGTCAGCTCTCCTAGCTGTGTCCCCTCCCAGGGTCTTGCCCATCCCAGCCCCTTGATGGGATGGGGTTATGTCGAGGGGCAGCACTGATGCTGTGCCAGTGCTGCTCAGCAGTGCCCAAAACACTGGTGTGTTATCAACACCTTCCCAGCTACCCATGCAAGGCACAGCACTGTGAGAGCTTCTAAGGGAAAAGGAACTCCAGCTCAGACCCAATACACCTGCTCAGCAAATGTGCTTTATTGCTGAAAGACATATTATCAGCTCTTGGGTTTCTCCT